GCGGGCGGGGAGGGGTGGGGGGAGGGAGGGGGTGCAGGCAAGGGTGGGGGAGGGGGGAGGTGGAAACAAACAACAAAACTGTACATTTTTTTTAAAGTTTGTTGAAAAGAATATTGTCTTATTCTATAAAACATTTCAAACCTAGTTAGATATTTGTAATCAAAAAACATTTGCTCAGAAAGCAGCACTTAGGGCTGCCTGTCCTATACCCTGCAGTTGGACAGGAAAAGGACTGAAAATGTCACCCTTTAACACTGTAAGGCAGCAGGAGCGCAGCCATGTGAGGGAGAGTGAGGAGGTGGAGTGGAGGGTGAGCAAGCAAGCGTGTGAGGGCACTCTCCGTAGCAGGCAGGAGTGGGACAGAGGGAGAGCTTGTGACTGGGGCAGTGAAATAAACGATTGGCTCTTATCAATCACTTGCACCAACTAACCGTTTGTATTTTCTTTACCAACCTTTCCCTCTTGGGATATCTGGTCTGGTGGGCTGGGAGGCCAGAGTGGCACTGTCTCCACTTTCCTGTGCCTATGTGCTGTTTGGCTGAGGCCTGGAGACTACCAATTGGATGGTTCTATTATATAGGATTTCCAGGCTGAGGAGGCAGGGGGACTGTGCTTGTTCGCAGAGCAGAATAGCTTGCACCCTCTACGTACCCATTAATGAGTTCCCATCAAGTCTTGGGGGAGAATGGGGTTGCAGGCCTCAGCCTGAAGATTGTGATCGTCAGTCTGTCCTCTGTCTTCCAAGGTTGAGATAGGCATGAAGTCTCTGAAGTCATCTCTGTTAGAGTATCTGTCCTCTTACAGTGCAAGAGAAGGAACGTTTCTCAGGGTTTCCGCTCACACAGAAATGAAGCAGGATTCTTCTCATGGCAGCAGGATGTGTATATAGTGAATCCTGTGGTGTGGGCTAGCAGGCCCAGGTGCTGAGAATAGCAACTATTTTATACAGTACGGAGGGCACGAGCCCGCTGGTCTTTTTGATACACAGGTAGAAAGTGAATAGA